ATACTGATGATGCAGAAATCTCCAGCATCCATAAATCATTCATCTTTTTCCTGACAATAAAAGAAAACAACATCCTAATATGATGAATAGAAAAAGATGAATTAAAGACAGAAATATTACAGAAAGTCTCTGGGCCTTTCTATCTTGGTCTTTATATAGAGTAACACAGTAAGATGATGATATTTGAGTTTTGGATCTATTATATGTATTTATTTGGTAGAAATGAAATCAAGTTTTAGACCAACTCCCATTGAATAGAAGAAATAAATTCCTAAAGTTACACTCCTGCAGACACTGTTTTTTAAGCAGGCTGTGCAACCCCCCCCCGGAGGCGGAGCATGGAGGACACTATGAAAGGAGTAAAGCAGAGTTTCTGCACCACACAACTATTGAAAAGCAGGTGTGACGCTTAAATACAACAGAATGTCTGAGAGTGATCAGGTATACAGTAACTCCTAGACATCTACATCCACATCTGTGTGATGTTAGAGTGACAGAAAAAAATAACAACAGCTAAAAGAAGACAACAGAAAACTAGAGGGCGTCCAAAAAGCATCAAGAGGAGCTGGCATCCCTTAGATATCCATATGTGTGGGAAAGAAAAAGGTTCAGCCCCTAAGTCCACCCCACCAGGCCCAGTACGGCATCCAGGCTACCCGAGCACAGGTACCCAAGAAGACGCCAAGGAGAGCCAGAAAGGCCCCGCCCCATCCTCAGGTGGAATGGAAAGAAAGAACCCAACCAGCCCCCCCTCCTGCTTGGGTGTATTGTTGAAGCCTGTTGTACTACTGTGTATTTAAAACAAGAGGGGAGGGTGGGTGTGCCCCCTAAATCTCCCACCCTGAACTCTAAGTGATTAAATGCATTCTAACCACCAAAGTTAGGCATGATCAGCAGGAGCAAAGCTAGGCTGTACCCCTCCAGGGCCCCAAATATGCCCACCCTAATGCCCTCTATATGTGTGTCTTGGAGATGCTATACTCTTTAATAATAATCTTAATTGATAAGTGAAGTATCTGATGCTGATTATGGTCTTCATTAAAAATTGGGGCCTAGGATCTCCTCCCCAGGGTAATAGAGCATGGGAGGGGAAGCATGGGGAGCAAAGGACTGGGGAACTGGGTTCTTCCAGGGAGCCAGCCCCCCTACTGACCCCAATAAGCACCCTGTTCTCTACCCTCCACCAGGGGAATGGCATGATGTGTTTTAGAGGTCTGACCCAAAATGCAGAGAACTGCTCAGAGAGTAAGGCAAAGGTTTAACAGGTTTATTGAGGTAAGGGTAGAATTGGATATGATCTGGAACTCAGGGAGCTGGTGAACAGGAACTAGGAAGTGTTTGGGGGGGTCCTTCTCTCACTTTGCTTCCAGTCTGTGTGGGTTGATCCAGAGAAGAGGGGACATGTTGAAGAGTGGACAGGTAGACATTCTTTAGACCCGGAGGAGCACTGGAGCGGACTGTCAATTGGATTGTTTGGCTGTGACTCCATCCTGGAAGAAATATCAGCTGTGCTGCT